TAACTTCAGACTACTACAAGAAGTTAGAGCAGAAATTGTAGCCAACTCTTTTGAAAATGCAATTATACATAAATCTATTAGAAACAGTGTGATTAAACAGAATTTACTTGAACTAAGTAAAAAGCTAAAAGATGAAGAGACAGTTGAAATTTATACAGATAAGGCAATAGTAACTAATAGTAAGAAAGAAAACAAGATAGGAATAGGTTGAATTGTAAAATTAGAAAATAGATTAGCTTGAGAAATTAGGTTTAGTAGTAGTATAGAAAACTGGCCTTCTTCTATATATACTGAACTAGAAACAATATAAACTGCTCTACTACCGTATAAGTTCATATACAAGATTCCCCGAAATAGTAAACCCACTATGAGTCAGACCCAGGTCTGTAATATAGATAAAGATTTTGGTGGAATGTAGGAGACCCGGGTATACTATAAGAAACAATAATTAAAAGACCTGAGTATAATATAGAGAATAGGTAGATTAGAAGACTCGGGTATATTAAAACACTATATATGAATAAGTAATATTTCAATAAATTCAATTTCTATTATCATTATTAGTATTTATAAAATGCATATATATTTACTGTATATCATTACAATATTTAACCAGTTTAGCTTGAAGCCTTATATTTAAAAAATTTTTACATTATTAACTTTCACACAAACTATAGTGATATATAAAATAAAATAAAAATAAAATTATGATTGTACATACTAGTATTAACTTTTATAGTTTTAGCTAACACTATGATACATTAATTCTCTCATACCTTTTCAATATTACCAGTAGATGATTTGCAATATACGACAAGCTTCTTAACGCATCTTAATGATAGTGCATTACCGGTATTTGGCTCAATATTGTTGAATAAACGATTTAAAATTTAGAGTTTGTAAGGGAAACGATTTTTAAGTAAGTAATTACAATGAAATAAATGTATAAAGCGAAGTAAGTATAGAAAGTTATTGAAAAAATGACCAAAAAATATATAAGCAATAGGTCTAATGCTAATTCTTTTATTTATATTTGCAGTGAATTTATATACGCTATCACTCTTTAATTACTTAGTATTAAAAGATTCTTTCATATCTATTATGTAATAAATTTTCTTTATATGTTATTTGGTTAATTTGTTTAAATTTGCAAGTGATTTCATATATTTTACTTACCATCCAAGTATTATTTGTATTATGGCTCTGAAAGTTTCTGATCCCATGAATTAGTATATTCGACTACTTTATCATCATAATATATATCTATATCTTCATCATAATATACATGCGCATCTGAATAACTTGAATAGTTTGACTTATTAGCATTACTTTCATTCTGACTATCATTCCATTCTTCATTCAGATCTTCATTCCAATCTTTATTTTGATTTTTATTCCAATCATCATTACAATCTGTATTCCAACCTTCGTTCCAATCGTTTTCTTCATTTTCATCCCAATTATCTTCATTCTAACTATCCCTGTTTGTGGTTTTATTGAAACTATTATTATCACTTTCATAAAAATTATCACTATTATTGTCACTATTATTGATTTCATTATGATTGTCATCGTTATTATCATCTTGAGTTAAATCAACGAAACTTTCATTATTATTTGAGTTATTGTCTTGAGTTAAATCAACGATACTTTCATTGTTATCTGAATTATCTACATTGACATATATAAAATTACTTTTTTTTCGAACTTCTGGGTCTTTTACCCAATTATAATTGAATATAATATCTTCTTCGGAACTATCTTGAGTAGTAGAAATACTGCAGCACTTAAATGATCGTTTGATAAGGGCAGGATCAACTTGGTTCCATACTCTTTTTATCTACTCAGCTACTATATTATAGGCAGGACGCTGAATATGACCCGTAGGTGTTAGTTTCTTAATTTCTTCTCCTATCTAATCGAGATAGAAATTGCGATACTTTAAATTATTTTTTAATTATATTTTATATATGTAATAATTCGTAATTATTGTATAATTGTATAACAATATAAAATAAATATTATTTACCTTGTCTTTGAATGATTTATTAATATATACGTCTAATGGCTGTAATTTTTTAGTAAGCCCACTTGGAATAATTGCGAAGTTGGTATTTTTTTCTTTAAATCTATTTTTAACTAGATCTGTTGTATGACCACTAAATGAATCCATAACAAGTAAAGAACGAGGATTAACAAACAAAAGAGTACGGGGACTCCAAATATTTTCTATTCAAAAAACTATTTCATCAGAATTCATGTATCCTTCTCGATTAGCTCGTACAACAACACCTTGTAGAAATGTTTGCTGTGGTATATTTACTAACTTAAAGATTATCATAGAGGGCAATTTGGTTCCATCGGCTAAACAACTTAAAACAACAGTGAAATTAGATTTTTCATACCCAGTTGTACGAATTGAAACAGTATGAGCACCTGTCTCTTCGACAGTATAATTATTAGGTACATCGAATGCTAATGAAGTTTCATCCATATTCCCAATAAGTGAAATAGGATACTTGAAAAACATACAATAATAGAGTATATTACTTAAAAATTCATTTTTTAGAGGTTCTAAATCCTCAGGCAATTTTTGTACTACAGTAGTATGATGCCGATTGCTAAAATTATTACGACGCATAAAGCCCTTTACCCACTTTTCGCCCTATTTGCATTCATTAATTGTTGGGTATAGTG